GCCAAGCTAACCTTTTCCAGGGCTAAGATTGAAAGACTAGACATGATCAAGTTGATATTTCACTGGTTTCAGTGTCTGAGGTAAAAAATAGATGTACTGTGATGCAAGGGGCTTATTGAGCAACTATTTCTATGCTGGGCACTTGCACATATGGGAAGTCGTGGCTGATTCCCGGGAAGTTGCAAATTAGAATTAAAAATAGAAAGAATGAAAAGAGAAAACATGGGGGCGCCTGGGTGGCTCAGTTGGTTAAGCGACTGCCTTCGGCTCAGGTCATGATCCTGGAGTCCTGGGATCGAGTCCCGCATCAGGCTCCCTGCTCGGCAGGGAGTCTGCTTCTCCCTCTGACCCTCCCCCCTCTCATGTGCTTACGCTCTCTCATTCTCTCTCAAATAAATAAATAAAATCTTTAAAAAAAAAAAAGAAAAGAGAAAACATGGGAAATTTAATCTTTCTTTCCCCAAATTTGGGAAAAAACAATCTCTAATAACATATCACAATTTACTTCTCTCCATTAGGAACAAAGGTAAAATCAAAATGCAAAATAAACCCCCCTTCACAGAGTTATCGTTTGGTGTTTGTGTTTGAGAAATATTGTGAAGAAGCGCGAGAACATCCATGGAAGCATCAATGGACGTGGCAGAAAGACCACGTGGTGGATTTGTAGGGAAGTGATTTGTCTCCACTGAGACATAGGAAAAATAATAATAATAAAAAATTGTGAGAAGAGTATTTGAGAACAAATTTATAACTGACAGAAGGGCCTGAAAGCCACCCAGATGACATACTAAGAGACACAATAGGATATTTTTTCACGGGAGAGTTTTGAGAAAAGAGTATTATTGCTTTCCAATTATGGCTTCATGTCTCTTCTCCCCAAAGGCACGTGTACTTGAAACACTTCTTGGCCCCCGTAAGAGAAGATTCTGTGGTACTGATGAGATTGTGTGCATTAGAATCACTTCTCCTGGAAAGGAGATGCTAAAGGGTACTCGAATAAAATATTAAAAATTATGAAGGACATAACAAAGGCCAATCAGTCCTTTCTTTTCCCCAGACCCCATAATATGAGAACAGGGGTTATTTGATGAAATTAAAGAGTAGCAAATTAAGTGCTAATAAAATGAGATAGTCACTTATATAATTCATTACCATGGGAGGTCACAGAGGCAAATTCTGTGGCTGGATTAAATATGGGGCCGGATAATTTTATGACCGCTAATGATATTTTTAACAGTGGAGGCTGATATTGCAAGAAGAATAATCCTATTACGTCCTCCAGGAGGTGGTTCACAGGGACCTCTGGCAAGTGGTGTCTGAGAAGTGTGAGAGCAGGCCTCGTGGGTTCTAATCTTTGGTGGGGAATTGTACTAAAAATTAGTTTTTAAGGTGGATGCCCTCAGGTATTCTGTTCATGCGTCAGTCCCAGCTTCTCTTGTGGAGATCCACAAGTTCTTTAATCAGAAGCAGTTGGGGTACAGAGTTCCATCATTCAAGGTGAATAAGTTCCAGAGATACAGTATACAGCACCATGACTATTGTTTTATGTTTTTTTTTAAAAGATCTTCTTTATTTATTAGGGAGAGAGAGAAAGTGAGCCCGGGGAGGAGCAGAGGGAGAGGGACAAGCAGACTCCGTGCTGAGTGCAGAACCTAACGCAGGGCTCGATCCCATGACCCTGAGGTCATGACCTGAGCCGAAATCAAGAGTCGGACTCTCAACCGACTGGGCCATCCAGACACCTCCAGTGTGACTATTGTTAACAATACTGTATTGTTTGGTTGATATCTGCTGAGAGAGGAGATCTTAAATGTTCTCAACCCACTCAAAAAAGGAAAAAAAAAAAAGGGAAATGTGTGAAGTGATAGATACGTTAATTAGCTTGATTGTGGTGATTATTTCACCGTGTAGATGTATATCAAAACATCAAGATGTATATCTTGAACATATACAGTTTTTGTCAATTATACCTCAATAAAGCTGGCGGGGAGGGACGTAAACACTAAAAGTTTTTTTTTTTAGAAAAAGCAGTTGGGAAAGATATTGCCCAGAATTTGATCATTTCTGGTCTCGGGGAACTATTCATTTTATTTATTGAATGCCACCCACGTGTCAGGCACTTTGCTTGGAGTTTTAAAAATCTGTTGGGACTGGGGCGCCTGGGTGGCTCAGTTGGTTGGGCGACTGCCTTCGGCTTAGGTCATGATCCTGGAGTCCCTGGATCGAGTCCCGCATCGGGCTCCCTGCTCAGCAGGGTGTCTGCTTCTCTCTCTGTCCCTCCCCCCTCTCATGTGCTCTCTCTCTCAAATAAATAAATAAAATATTAAAAAAAAAAATCTGTTGGGACTGAAACATTTTGACAAATCAGTGCATTCAGAATAAGGGGCCTTCACTAAAGGTAGACTATAAAATTGCATTAAGTGCATAGAAACAAAGGAATAGCTCAGCCTGTATGGTTCAGAGGAAGTTCACAGAGAAGGTGGCATTTGAACTAAGTCTTAAAGGTTGGGTGGGAGTTCACTCTGTTGGCAAGATAACGAAGGGCAGAAGGAATAACCAGCATGCACAGGTCCAGAGACGGAACGTGACATAATTGCCGATGAACTCCTGGTAGTTTAGAAAGGCTGTACCCCAGGGCTGGAGGGGCAGAAAGGGAGAAGAGGGGTCTTATGAGGGCAAAGGGAGCCAGGTGGTGAAGTCTTGGGATTGCCGGAGGCGTCTCTCCAGTAGCCAGGCTTCCTATGGTGGTTGTGTGGGTGGGGAGTAGAGAGGAGGCGGGGAGGGGTATCCAGGAAGGGTCATATGATGGATAAAGGACAGCCCCTCAGAGCTTTGCCCCACCAACACAGGCTTCCCTCTTTTGGCCACTGTCAACAGTTGCTTGTTGGTGAGCCTTGTGTTTCACACAACTCTGCCTCATTGACTGTCGGAAATGATCTTTACCATAAACCTAATCACGCTTAACAGTTGTTTTTTTTTTTATAAAAAAGAATCTCCCCTGCCTTTGGGTGGAGAGGGGTTCTTATAGGTCTTGTAAATTAGGGTGAGTCTGGTCTTATTTCTTTGGGCTTTACCTAGAACCCATCTTTGGATGGGGAAGAAGAGGCAGATACCATTTGCTTGACCTTAGATTCTGTGATGTTAGCTCAGCAGATGAGCAGGAAACCATACAGTGTCTTGGAGGAGCAGATGGATTGAAATGATAAAACTCTTGTTTTGTTAAATGATTTCAGCTAACAAAATAATTTAATTAGGAGAAAAAAAAAAGCACCCAGACTCTGCTCCTTATTCAGTGGTATTTAAATAAGCATATCATTATTAATCATTCAGACTCTGACTTGGAATTTCTACAATATTAATATTGATAAGAAGAATCAATTGGAAATGAGAGAGAATGTCTTTTGTAGAAACGTGGTCTTATTTTTGTGGTGGATGCAAATACTGTATTATTATTATTATTATTAGTTTGGTTACGTAGTGCAGTATGCAATTAGCGGTTTCCCCTCCACATTATAGAGAATTGTGTATGGTAGTCCCCTCTTACCTGTGTTCCAAGACCACCCCCAGGGGATGCCTGAGACTCTGGACAGTACTGGACCCTACCTATATATATACTATATTTTTTCCTATTCATATACACCTACGATAAATTTTGATTTATCAATTAGGCACAGTAAGAGATTAACAGTAGTAACTAATAATAAAATAGAAGAGTTATAACAATATGGTATAATAAAAGTTACGTGAATGTGATCTCTCTCGGGATATATTATCGTATTGTAGTCACCCTTCTTGTGATGATGTGAGATGGTAAAATGCCTGTCTGATGAGAGGAAATCAGGTGAATGATATAGGCATTGTGACATAGCGTTAGGCCGCTATGACCCTCTGATGCCTCAGAAGGAGGATCATCTGTTTTTGGACTGCAGTTGACCACGGGTAACTGAAACTGCAGAAAGGAACATCATGGATAATTGGGCCATATTTCCTTTTCCACAGTAGTTTTTTACAGCTCTTCTAAGAAGAAGGTGCTAGAGGGATATAAAAATAAAGTTAGTTATAGAAGGTAAATGGGTAAGTGCTTAATTTACTGTGAAGTCACTGTTGTGATAGAGTGTTGGTGGATAAAACTGAAATACAATTGAAATACACCCTGTGTTTGGTGTTAGTCACTCAAAGATAAGATCGTGACTCACAATATAGTAAGTACAGGAGACCATTTTACCATGACTCCTTGATGAACTAAATCCCAGTTTTATAGTACAGCTGTATCCAGATGTTAGCTCTATCTGGGGATCTGGCAGTGTTCTGAAGCTAGGTGTAGGCTGGGTTTAAAATAGAAATTATGTTTAACTCAGAGAGATGGAGGGTAGGATCGGGGTGGGGAAGAGCCTTTTAAAACAGAAGCAATAGAGATGTCTCCCAGAATTTTGAACACCTTGGTTTTTGTTTTTTTTCTTTCCCTTTTTCTAACTTCTGTTCTATCAATGTTGTAACTTCTAATACATTCTGAAAAAGTCCCTTTTGAGGAAAGCATGGGCTATATCATATCATATCATATATCATATCATATCATATCATATCAGCATCTAGTAGATATAAATCTTATCAGTAAGGGGAGTAGTGATCAAGGATTCCTTTAAGCCCCAACATTAATTCACTTAAGTATTTATTAATCATTTGTTCTCCTGGACTGGGCACTTACAAATAAGTCTTTGCTGTCAGAAGTGAGGCACGAGTAATATAACATTTTTCTCCCCTGTTAGACATATCTATGTAATGAATCAATACAGGTTCTTCCAGTTCCAAATGTACTTGATTTTACATGAAGAATGCCTTTTCAGGGCTGGGTTTCTTTCAACAGGTTCTTTATTTGTAATTGTGCAAAAAAGAAGCATAGGCTTTAAAAACAGCTTTGATGCAAAATGGTATATCCTTTCAAGGACCACGTAAAAATAGATGAATATATTTAATAAGAAGTGTTCCTCTTTCCCCTTTAGACCTTAGCTGGATCTCCAAAATACAAGTGAATCAACCAGCAGTTCTGAGGCGTGCAGAACAAATCCAGGCTCGCAGAACCGTGAAAAAGGAGTGGCAAGTAAGGTTTCTTCTGGAGCATTCTGTTCCTGTAGTTTGCAATGCTTGGTCTCTTCCCTCAAGGCCACAGTATTGAATTTCACTCAAGAAGCATCTAAACTTAAAAGATTGCAGCTGTCCATGACTTATTTTAATAATTCATATATGATGATGATGGGTTGGAGAAAGATAACACATTTATCCAAAAAAGTTAAAAATCATACCACTCTTGAGTGGCAAAGCCGCAAATGAATTTGAGGCATCTTTATTCATGAGTGAATTAAATGGCATATTTCCTCAACACATTTATTCAGTTCCTTAGACATACCTTCTTTGGTTGTCTTCTATTTTAATTTTTAAACCATAACATCTAAACCTGGTGTGTCTGCTCTTGAGGCACTTAGGCATAAGAGTTGACCTCCTTTGACCATTGTGTTTACCTTACTATTAATTTTCATAAATCATTTCCCAAAACTCAAAAAGTGATGTTTCATAGGGTACTTGTGGTCAGCATAGCCTTCAGTGTATACTGACCAAAGATGTGCTATGCATCACAGGACTAAAAGGAATTCAGAGTTCATTTCACAAGTGAGGCAAAATAGTGTGATTGAATCCTTTAGGGTGACATTTTACATTTTGTTCATCCTTGGAAATATTCCGATTGAAAGATAAAAGGAAATTCATTAGAATGAGTTATGAACTATGAATATTGTTTTAGAAATGGAATTGGATTAAAGCGAACAACAACAACAACAACAACAACAACAACAAAATTAGAGACTCTTCTTTAAAGAGTCTCATCCCAGATTCCAAGGCTGGAGGTAAAATATCAGATAGAGACCCTCTTTTTCCCAGGTTCTGTCATATGGTAGCCATCAGGGGCCCCTAGTGGAGGAGATGGAGAGGTCTGGTGTGGAGAGGCTTGATCTATTAGGGATTTCACTTTGGGATAGCTATGGAAGGAAAAATAATTTTTTTTTTAAAGATTCTATTTATTTGGAGGGGGGAGAGAGCATGCATGGGGGGGGGCAGGGAGAAGAGAGGGAGAATCTCAAGCAGACTCCGTGCTGAGCCCAGAGCCCAATGCGGGGCTCAGTCTCACAACCCTGAGATCATGACCTGAGCGGAAATCAAGAGTTGGACGCTTAACTGACTGCACCACCCAGGCACCCGGAAATATTAATTTTTAAGGCTACTCTGTATCCCTCTTTTATTTTGTTCTATGCAGTGTTCATCTTGTTGGTCACTCTTGAGCAATGTTTGTATCACATGTGAGAAGGACATGCCTTAGAACAGGGTAGACGTCAGAAATTAGCACCCACGTTTGTCTAATGATTTTCTACTAACTAACTGGGTTGGAGATGAATTTTTTTTAATCTTGTTTTTACTTTCTTTAAACCAGGCTGCTTGGCTCCTGAAAGCCGTTACCTTTATAGATCTTACTACACTTTCAGGCGATGACACATCTTCCAACATTCAAAGGCTCTGTTATAAAGCCAAGTATCCAATCCGGGAAGATCTCTTAAAAAGTTTAAATATGCATGATAAAGGTAAAATCATTGTGTATAATCTGTCTGTGTTTACCTCTTTATGGTACTAATCACTAAATCTAAGAGGATTTGAGAAGATTCAGTTGCTAAAATGATAACAGCAATAAAATCCACAGTAGAATTGTGTACATAGACAAATAATTGGGATTCTTCTCTGAAAAACAGCAGGGAGAGAATCTGAGTCTCATTTTTAGGTCAGTTCTTTCCATCCTGGATTAAAGTTTCTGGTAGAGAGTGTCTTTATTTTTCTTTCCAGTTCTTCAGTGTGGGAAATTTTCTATCTAGTGACTCTAAAATACTGATTCTCATTCCCTAGCCACATGTGCAAAAGCCAGTCTCATTACTTAATAATCACATCTCATACATAAAGTATTTTCTGTGAGTAAATGAAATACTTTTGAGAATAAAATGCAAATGGGGAATATTGCGTGCTCGTATATTAGGTTAAATCTTTTGAAAAAAAGTTATATTCACTCTCTTAGTATACTTGAAAGAAAGGACTTTCTAAAGTTGCCATAAGTTTAGAATCTTAACATCTTAGGAATGGAGGAGACCTTTGAGAGTTGATCCCCTATTTCTAAACGAGGAAACCGAGTTCTGGAAGGCTAAAGGGTGTTTCCAAGACCATGTGTCCTGGTACTCACTGGGCTGATTTTAGGAGCCACATCTTTCGATGGAGGGATGCTTCATGATTCCCGAGTGCCTGTTGGTAATGAATATGCAAGTGGAGATGTTGCATTGGCCCAATGCAGGTATTTTATCCCAAATAATTTGAAGATAATTTATAGACCTAAACAACTCCACAGCTTTTGAAAAATATTTATTATGTGTCTTTTGGGTTGACAATAAAAACACCACCTATGTATAGGCATTGTTATACAAAATTGTTGAAAGTAGCAACTTTATAGAAGTCTATGTTTTTGCTTTGTTTTATAGTGGCTGTTTGATTTTTATTTGATTTTTTTTAATTTAAGAGCTTATTCCTCCAAGTGAGGGCTCCAGATCCAGATTGTATTATTTCTTGCAAGAGAGGGAATAGGATCAGTTAAATGTCGTTTTGCTATACTACCCTCTCAGGTTCTCATTCACTTTTTTCATCCACTGTCTGTTAGCTGTACAAATCTGGATTTTGTTACCTACATGAAATACAATATTCTCATTGAGTCAAGACCATTAAGTTTACCACTTAGGAATCTTTAAAAAGTGGCATTATATTGACCTCCAAGACCAGTGCATCACAGTTATTTTATTCCGTGTCTTGAACATGGAGAAAAAGATCCCTATTGTCAAGAACTGGAAGGGAATGTTAGGGAGTCAAAACTTTTTCATTCAGTGCAGTGTCGCAGGGGAATTATTTCTTCTCTCATTTTGATTTCTGCCAGGGTGGTGGTGTAAATAATTAAAAGCCTCTTGTTCAAGGTGAACTTCCCATAAAGCAGGCTGTTACGATTTCTTTCGTCACAGGCCTTACGACCGCTGCTGTTTGTGTCTACCCCGCGCGGGTGTGTGATGCGGTTAAAGCGCTGAAGGCCTCGGGCTGTACCATCCCAGTGGCTTCCGGTAAAATTGTTTTGGCTTTTGCTCTTGTCTCTCAACCTGTTTCCAGTTCTTCAACTCAGACACCTGGGGGTTTTATATACAGTTTTATACTATGATTTTAATTAGCTTTATATATTTAACGATTTCTATTTACTCATTCTCTCCATATCTGCTTGCCTCCTAAGTAGCAGACCACATTCATTCCCAAGAATATAGAACCTTATCTCCGTCCTTAAGGAAACTTGGTTGTTTAGGAGGAATAAGCAAGTTTAAAACGTGATAATGCAGGATATGTAGTAATATATATGAAAAAGATGACAATAAAGATACGCAGAAGGTACAGTTATAACTCGGAGCAGGGAGTGATTTATTTTGCAGAGGTTGGTGACACTCAGAGAGTAAGGGAAATTCTTTACAGGGGAGATGATAACTGCTGGGGGTCTCAAAGGGGAAGGGGGAGTTGACGGTGTTGGTGAGACAGGGAATGGCATTTTAGACAGAGGAATTAGCCTGTGTGAAGGCACAGAAGCACATTCAGGGAACCACAAGTGGTTTGTCATTGTTGGATCTGAATTGGGATGAAGTGGGGGGTGGAAGGGGGCTCTGGGAGTTGAAGCTGGGAAGGTAGATCGGGGCCAGATCACATAGGGGAAAATGGCCCGGTGGTGGCATTTGGGCTCTATTCTGGTGTTGGGGAGGATACTGCAAGATTTTCAGCAAAGGCATGTCATGATCCGCTGCATGATGTAGTGAGTTACGGGGGTGGTCATGGATCCAGTAGAGGGGGTGACAGGGAGTTAGGGAGACTTATCACAGTCCAAGTGAGACGTGTGAGGAGTGCCACTCCAAAGCCTGGGAGGTAAAGACAAGAGAGTATGTTCAGGAGTTATTCCCTTAAGATAGACTCAACAGGACTGGGCATGAAAGACAAAAGAGTCTTTAAAACTTCTGTGTAAGTGAGTGTGTGAGTGTGTATGGATGGATAGATATAAAATTAGATTGTACTTTTAGAAGATGTTAAGAGGAATATCTTGGTTCTTTAAAAAAGGAGTCTAAAAAGATGATTAATTTATTTTATTAGGGATACATCAAAACAAACACATAGTATTGATATACAAGCTATTTGTGAAGATTCCGAAAGTGTTTGGCAGCTACCTTAAATTTTTCATCAGCCTCATTCAATTCAGCTTTTCTTTTATACAACAGGGAAACATGCTTTCCTCTAAGATAGCAGACCCAAGGAATTTAATAACATCAAGGAAATACAAAAGGTTATCTTTAGTAATGGAAATGGGCTTAATGATGCACGTGTAAAAAATGTTAATGGTTTTTCAGAAGTGTAGCTGTATTTTCATTTTTTTTAAAATATTTATTTGGCCTTGCTCTTCCCAACTCGCCCCTGCCCCAGTTTTGTGGACAATATTAGGTCTTTTTCCCTCTTGCAATTGCTTCCCTTTATTCTCATCTGCTTGGTCTTCATTTTAAGATAGGCAGTGGGAAGAACCTATATTGCAATTTGGTTGCAACAGCTATAAATGTGAGTGATTAAATCAAGAATACAGTGGTAACCAACTTAATTAAGAGTAGGATCAATAATTAACCAGTGTCCATCAGGACAGGGCTATAGCTACTATGTTATGACTATCACTGTGAGGATACATATTTTCTTAATTTCTATTTACTTAAAGCCCCCTCATGAGCATCTCTGCAGAAACTTAATTTCAGGTTTTTCAAATTATAAAATACTAATATTCATCTTAACACCAATACTATATGAGATGACATTCTATTTCTTTGCACTTCTCTTTGTAAGATAGGCGTGAAGCTCTTTAGTGTCATTAATGCTTTGGTCAAAATGCTGTTTTGTTTTTTTGTTTTTTTGTATGAAATTCCTTATTGAGATACTTACAAACTGAAATTTGTCTTCCTTCCTTCCTTCCTTCCTTCCTTCCTTCCTTCCTTCCTTCCTTCCTTCCTTCCTCCTTCCCTTCCTTCCCTCCTTTCTTTTCTCTCTCTCTGCTAGTGGCCACTGGCTTTCCAGCTGGACAGACTCATTTAAAAACACGATTGGAAGAGATCAGATTGGCTGTGGAAGATGGAGCTACAGAAATCGATGTGGTGATTAACAGGACATTGGTGCTGACTGGCCAGTGGGAAGGTATGTGCAAGTCCTTACCTAAAAGGGAGACTAAGTTTTACCTGCATGAATCAAATGGTGAGGATTGGAAAAGGGGCAGCATGTTTTGGAAGTCGTTGTTCTAGGTTACAAGTTACCAGATTAGAGGGTGAATTTCAGAGAAAACATGGCTGGTATTGCTCATGGCTTGTTCCCCTCATAAATCCTAAGCAGTTGCCCACCTGCATGAACTTTTTAGATCCCTTTGAGTGCTTAGGTGATGGTTATTTCTATGCAGTAGGTTATTAATTTTTATTCTATTCTCTACTATTTTATTACTCAATACATAAATCACTCTAGGCAAGTCATTTATGCAAAGTTTATTTTAATAGGTGGAGGAAACTTCCCTTTTTTAATGTTAATCTTTGTGGATTTTGAGAATGTGGGATTAGTAATGAGTATGCTAAGTCTGTTTTCACTCCTACTGTTCTTACACATAATTCCTATGGATACTATTTTGTATTTACCTTTGAGATTCATGATTTACTATCACACCAATTATGATAAAACATTACCCATTTCAATAACAAGCTGTTGTTTTTATAATTAGATATTAAAAAAATAGATTTGACCTGTGCCTTAAATATATTTTGTATATTAGAGATTGTTGATAGCTAAAAAAAGTATAATTTTCTACTTTGAAAAAATCATTATAAAAGTAGTCCAACTAAAAATTTTTAATAAAATCATAAGATAAAGCCAGAATAATATGTTATCTCCTTAGATATGTGAATATCAAATACGTGGCATATTTTATTCTAATTACAGAGGTTATACCTGCTCGCTGTTAAAAACAAAAATTCTAACCAGTAATAAAGGAAGTAGATGTTCTACATAATGTCGTCCACTAGAAATAACCTCAATAACAGTATAATGCACAACTTCTCAGACTTTTTTCTCTTCATATATACACATGCAACTGACACCCTTTTTAAAAGTTTAAATAAAAAGTAGGATTATACTTAATGTATTTTTTCTTAATCTACATATTGGACTTGCTAGTATTTCATGGATATCTATTTTTAAAATTTTATTTATTTATTTATTTATTTATTTATTTATTTATTTATTTGAGAGAGAGACAGAGAGTGAGAGAGAGACAGAGAGCATGAGCAGGGTGAGGAGCAGAGGGAGAAACAGACTCCCTGCTGAGTGGGGAGCCCGATATGGGGCTCGATCCTGGAACTCCGGGATTTTCTTTGTGTAAGAAGATCAAGCCTGGAGGTAGGTATTTCAGGGGTACTGTGGCAGTCCCACAAAGTCCTTGGTGACTTATGCTACTTTGATCTTCCACTTCTAAAGGATGTGGCTTCTACCCTCATACTTAAGGGCACTCCATTGTCTAAGGTGACTTCTGATGCTCCCGCCTTTCCACCCATCTCCCAAATAACAGGAAAGAAGGGCTGTCCTATTCTAAAAACTTCCCACAGCACTTTTGCGTCTACCTCCTTGGCTCAGACTGAGTTACGTGGCCACCTTGGCTGCAAGTGAGGCCGGAAAATGCAGTCTTTTAGCTTAGAATATTAACTACGTTCCCGTACATTCTTAGTAAGTTAGATGGTGTACATTTCTGTGCCCAGATGGAAAGGACTGAGGGGAGTTCTAGCACGGAAGGACAGTGTGCCATAGGAGCTCAAAGGGGTCTGACAGTAAAAAGCTTAATAGCAAAGGGCCTTGTGAAACAACAATAACACAAATATTTAAATAAAAAGAAATAGGAAGTCAAAAGGCAGAGCACTGTTAACTGTGGGGTGGGTCACCTCAGAGATTTCAGCAGCTCGAAGAGCATCACAATCACTGATACCACAGTTCTGAATGATCTAGAAAAAAATGTTAAAGCCATTCCTATTGCCCCATACTCCCAACTATACTCATCAACATTTTTAATCCTTACCCTGTTTAAATTCTTGACTGTTCATAAATATCTTTTTGTGCTTTTGATTTTTGTTCCTTTTTTTTTATGGTTCATGTGAGCTTTGGCCAATTGCAATCATTCTTAAAAGACATACTTTAAATAGATGTCCCTTATCCCTATATATTGATTCTTGTTTCCTTCTAGTTATAGATTTCAGTTAGGATTTCAGGCCAGAGTAAGAGGGAAAAAAATGAATATGCATAATATTGAAAAAAATTTGGAAATAAACTATACATGATTTAGATAAAAAAAAAACAACTATATGCCCTTTATGTCTTTTTTTTTTTTTTTTTTAAGATTTTATTTATCTGACAGAGACACAGCGAGAGCAGGAACACAAACGGGGGAGGGGGAGAAGCAGGCCTCCCTCCGAGCCCCGCCAGGCGGGAGCCCGATGCGGGGCTCGATCGCAGGACCCAGGGATCATAACCTGAGCCGAAGGCAGACGCTTAACGACTGAGCCACCCAGGCGCCCCGCCCTTTATGTCTTTTATTAAACAGTTGTAGACATAGAAGTGTAGTTTCTATTATAACTTCTGCTCTTGTCTCTAGAATACTAATTGGGAAATAAAATATAATAGGAGATGGGTTTTGATGTAATTGTCTGTCCCTTAATGAACTAGCAATGGTTGTTTTTAGGAACTGATTATTTCCTAATAACAGGCATTCATGCAAAATATAATAACACATCTTTGTCCTAGACCATACTTTTCTATTAACTTTTTTATGGTGTTAATAACCTCTTGACCCAAAACAAATTGAAAAAGAACATTTAATACTAGAAATTTAATTCTGAATAGAAACCTGCAATGACTGAAGCCTTTTTTCACTGCAGTATTTTGTCTTAATTTGCCTCAATTTGATTACATATTATATTTTTCAGTGTTACGCTTTCATATTAGCTGTTTACTAAAATATGAGCCTAAAATTGATTTCTTGGAATGTGCTGACAGAAGTGTCTGTCAGGCTAATACACATTCAAATCCAGGTCCCTCTCCTCTGCGCACTGAGGTGTGTAGGGCACTGGTTGAAGCACAAAAGAAAGAATCCTGTTTTTAAAGCTGGCCATTCAGAGTGTATCCTAATCATTTCTCATGGCCGCAGAGTCCACAGTTTCCGGGGTGAACTCAAAGAGGAGACTGGAGCGGGGCTTGTACTCCTCTTGAATTCTCCCTGGTGACAGTTTAAAATCTCTGCTCTCCTCAAGCTTCTAATTCTTCTGTTCACCTTGAGGCCCATTCCCTCTTAGCAGAAGACCTAGCTGCTATTTCTCAGAGAAAACAGACACCATTAGACAGGAACTCCCCCAGGGTCCTTGCAGCAGGGTCTGCCTGCCTTTGTTCCTCCCTTTCTCCTCAGTCCAGTCCCTCCGCTGTGTGGTGGCTCCCATTTCCTCCCGCATTTTCGGAGGCCTTACTCCATTTGTCGGCCATTTTTTTTCTGCTGTGCCTTTAGTCTTTGTCTCTACTAGCTCATTCCCATCAGCATCTAAACATATGTAAGCTTTTCTTCTCCATTTAAAAAAAACTCACATGCCAACATTCCCCCTCATCCCCAGCTAAGTCTCCCTTTCTGTTCTTCCCTTCATGGCTAAAGTTTTTAAAAGAGTCATATGTATTTGTTTCTCTTGAATCTCTACTAACCAAGATGCTAATGACCTGTTATTTTCCTGTGTCCAGGGAATATTCTTCAGTTGTTTGTTTAGCTTTACCATTCAGCATTTGACACAATTCACTGTCCTCCTTCTGGAAACACTCTCTTGTCATGCTGTCCGTGACCCTAAATTCTTCAGGTTTTCTTCCATGTTTCTGATTACTCCTGCGTCCCTGTGCCTTGTTTGCGAGCTCCTCTACCTCCTCTATCATCCCTGAAGTGTTGGTGGTCCTCAGGTCCTGTTCCAGCAACTCTCAAATTTCTCCTCAAACTCTGCGTACTCTCCCTGTCCTCACCTATTTCAGCCACATTCCCTGTGCTGGACACTACAAAACCTCCTGAGCACCGGAACCTACATCTGCTGACTCTGGAACTCGTGCTCTATTTCCCTGCTAAACCATGTTGCTTTTCATGCATCATTTTATAATTTTTTTAAAGATTTTATTTGAGAGAGTGAGAGAGAGTTTGCACAGGCAGGGGGGAGGGGCAGAGGGAGAGGGAGAAGCAGACTCCCTGCTGAGCTTGGAGCCTGCTGCAGGGCTGAATCCCAGGACCCCAGGATCGTGACCCGAGTCGAATGCAGATGCTTAACCGACTGAGCCACCCAGGTGCCCCTCATGCATCATTTTTACATAAGTAGAACAGTGACTCTTGATCCAGTCAGAGAATCTAGCCATTTTAGAAAGAAACCCATTAAAAAATATTTGACTTGAACGCTTTCTCTTAAATAGTTTAATTTCAGAACTGTGGTATCGGTGACTGCATTATCCTGGAGCACAGTGATGCTCCCTGAGCTGTGGAAATCTCCGAGATGACCCACCCCCTGGCTAACAGTTCAGGCCGTTGTGCCTTTTGACTTTATATACCTTTTTATTTAAACATTTTTGTTATTGTTGTTTCGCCTGGCCCTTTGCTGGTAAGCTTTTTACCACCAGATCCTGATTTGCTCGTTATGGCACACTGTCCTTCCCTGCCTGTCCTTCCCTCAGTCTTTTCTATTCGGGCACAGAAATGGACACCATCTACACCATCTAACTCATCCCTCGGGACCATAGTTGTAACTAGATAGGGCACAGAATATATTGCTGGTTCTCAGAATTCCCTGACAAATGTTTTCAAATTACTTGCCCCCAGTCGTCTCCTCCCAGAAGCTAGCCTTTCCCTCCCTGAGTGTAGGTACTGTCAGAACTGGGTGTTGGAGGTGAGGGCAGTAGATTCCTGGGCTGCGAAAATTGCTCCAGGTGATTTTGATCCCACCCCCGCCCCCACACCATCCTATAGTCGTAGAGAATCACTAACTTTTAGCATCTATTTTTTTTTTTTTTTTAAACATACTCCTTGTTCTTGGTTCCACATAGTTTCGATGCAGGGTACTTGAAGCATTGTTGAATTTATATGTTGGTTAATTAGTACA